CAAACGATTTTGGGGGTGCCGTAATTCCTCATGATGAAGAAAAAACAGCCCAAGAGATCTTCTTGCCTGCTGCAGAAGTGATGAATGAACAGCAAACTTGCTCTCAGGTTTCTTGGACCATTTCTTGTAGAAGACATAATGCAGTGTGCTGAGAATGTCTGCCAGCTTGTAGCGATGCTGCACATCACGCCCAAAAAGATTTATCAAATGGACGTGTGGAATACTACCACGGTCCAGTAAGCCATATCCTTGCTCAGAATATGGAAAAAAAAGTCCCCACTTAGAACAGGGAACTCTTCAGTTTTGGTTGATAAACTTCCTGTTGGATTCTTCTTTTGTGAACATGTGAGAGTAAATCTCTCAAGGTGCCCCCACTGAATATTCATATTCCAGCCAGGTCTAGAGTTGATGTACTGAATCAACTTCTCGTAATTCTCGACTAACTGCCTGGTCCCATTCTTTCTCTCTGTCGCTAGCGGAAATCATCTCCAATGGGCGACCAGGATGGTGTTGTGGCGGAAAGTAATAAGCTTTGGCCCTGTACTGAAGTTTGCAACATACTCAGCGCGGTGCTCAAGGTTATCCTTGGTGACCTCCAAACCTTTGCTTTTGTGAATAATCGCCGGGAATTTGTCGGAAGTCAAAGTGGACGGACAAACAAAAGGATGGGTCCGCAGGTATATTTGATTGCTGTACAACATAAAAGGCATCACATTGACAGAAGATGTCAGTCAAGTCCCTTGCGGTCCCAACATCTGCCCCCGCCAGTAAAATTCCAGAGCCTTCTCTTGAAGAGAGATGCCTTGACCGCCTGGTGCACACGTTTGAACCACCATGTTGGTACATGCCAGATTTCTGCCACAAGTATGACCATAGTGCTGGAGTAGCCAAACGGGTCAATGGCCCAGCTGTTTTCTGGAACGAATGTTGCAGGTTTCTCCCACAGCCACTGATGACCTCAATCAGCTGGTCAATAAACAGCCACGTAATGGCCCTACTTGCCTCATCTGGCATCACCCATCCTCCCAGAGTTATCTCCAGCTGACCTCGTCTGATAAGTCGTCTGACATGAACCTGAAATGTGAACAGAATGTTAGTCTTATATAAACCTGAAATGTGAACAGAATGTAAGTGTAATATAAACCTGAAATGTGAACAGAATGTTAGTCTTATATAAACCTGAAATGTGAACAGAATGTTAGTCTTCTTCTTCTTCTTCTTGTTCACCGGCTGTGAATTCCGGCGGTAAGTCGCGGTTGTTCGTCCAAAATGGACTTTTGGCTTTTACCTTGACCTGAGTTTTGCGTGTACATCCGTTTTACTGGCTTATTTGTTTGCAGTACTCGTTCCCCGCCTCTCAGGCAGATGTACTCCGACTTCGGAGGAAGAATGTTAGTCTTATATAAACCTGAAATGTGAACAGAATGTTAGTCTTATATAAACCTGAAATGTGAACAGAATGTTAGTGTAATATAAACCTGAAATGTGAACAGAATGTTAGTGTAATATAAACCTGAAATGTGAACAAAATGTTAGTCTTATATAAACCTGAAATGTGAACAAAATGTTAGTGTAATATAAACCTGAAATGTGAACAAAATGTTAGTGTAATATAAACCTGAAATGTGAACAGAATGTTAGTGTAATATAAACCTGAAATGTGAACAGAATGTTAGTGTAATATAAACCTGAAATGTGAACAGAATGTTAGTGTAATATAAACCTGAAATGTGAACAGAATGTTAGTGTAATATAAACCTGAAATGTGAACAGAATGTTAGTGTAATATAAACCTGAAATGTGAACAGAATGTTAGTGTAATATAAACCTGAAATGTGAACAGAATGTTAGTGTAATATAAAAACCTGAAATGTGAACAGAATGTTAGTGTAATATAACCTGAACTGTGAACAGAATGTTAGTGTAATATAAACCTGAAATGTGAACAGAATGTTAGTGTAATATAAACCTGAAATGTGAACAGAATGTTAGTGTAATATAAACCTGAAATGTGAACAGAATGTTAGTCTTGCTCTGTTGTCCTGTCCATTCAGTTTTAAGGTCTCAGTGTGTGTTGTACACATTTATTATTTATGTCATCACAGTAAAAACATACTGGAAACATTTTTTAATCTCAATCTTCCATTTTTACATTTGGCTCACAAGCAACACATGACACTTGATCATCTATTGACCACCTCAAACACATGCATGCTGTGGAATTATATCTTTCACATTTGGCCTGACATATTTAAGAAATTGCTAAGATAATGACGTTACAGTAACTGCATCATTTCTCATCTGCTGTCCAGGCATTGAAAATACAAATCTAGCACTGTGGCTCTGCCTGCCTGTAGTCATGAGTTCAATACTTTGATGACGTCCTCCACCCCATTCCCCCCACAAACACACACACCTTCACAAACACACACACCTTCACAAACACACACACCTTCACAAACACACACACCTTCACAAACACACACACCTTCACAAACACACACACCTTCACAAACACACACACCTTCACAAACACCTTCACAAACACACACACCTTCACAAACACACACACCTTCACAAACACACACACTTTCACAAACACACACACCTTCACAAACACACACACCTTCACAAACACACACACCTTCGCAAACACCACACCACCTTCAACAAACACCCCACCAACCTTCACAAACACACACACCTTCGCAAACACACACACCTTCGCAAACACACACACCTTCACAAACACACACACCTTCACAAACACACACACCTTCGCAAACACACACACCTTCACAAACACACACACCTTCACAAACACACACACCTTCACAAACACACACACCTTCGCAAACACACACACCTTCACAAACACACACACCTTCGCAAACACACACACTTTCGCAAACACACACACCTTCACAACAACACACAACCTCACAAAAACACACACACCTTCACAAACACACACACCTTCACAAACACACACACCTTCACAAACACACACACCTTCACAAACACACACACCTTCGCAAACACACACACCTTCGCAAACACACACACCTTCGCAAACACACACGCTAGTGCAATTACAGGTGTCCTCTATCTTGTTCAACCAGTCACCACACACACACACACATACACACACACACACATACACACACACACACACACACACACATACACACACACGCATGAAAGCCAGTACCTTGACCGCGTCCTCTATCTCATTCCACCACATGGCAAAGTAGACAGTCTCGGTCCAGATGAAGGTCATGTTGGGGAACTGGGTCAACTTGTTGACCATGTTGTTGAGGATGTGCTTGCTCTGGTCTGAGTAGTACTCGTTGACCGTCTTCAGCCAGCCGGGGTCATTGTGGGAGTGAGGCATCAGGATCACTGTCAACTTCGGCAGTCGTTCCGTCTTGTCTGGGTGAAAAGAGATGTCCAATGTTACATGTGGGAACAACTCTCATACAAGTGAGAATAACTATCATGTGTGTACGGGAACAGCTCTGATATAAGTGGGAATAATTGTCATGTGTGTGTGTGTGTTTAGATTCATACACAATCCAACCATTAAATAATTGGACTGAGACTCATTGTAACAAAAACAGAAAATGCACATCCCAGCTTTGCTTCATTTGGAATCTTGCTCACACCAATCTGAATTGTGCATACCACCTGAAAATCTAGGATGAGATAATCAACGATTGCAAAACTTTTTCTCAACAGTTCAAGTGTCACAATATCATCTGTTCCCAGTTTAAAACAGAAATTAATGTTCACTATTTGCATGACCCCACATGTGTAACAAAGCAACTCTGACTAGTTAACCAGTGAACCAAATGTGGCTGGTTATCTATCAACACCTGCTGACCAGGCAGTATTGCAGTTTGGTCAAATCATGGAAACAAAACTATTATATATATATATGGGAACTTTTTCTTGTTATTCATCCACTTCTGGTCTTTGGGGGACTCTTTAAAGAACTTTTGCATAAAAATCTGTTTTTAAAGATTTGGCACATCTTGTGTGCAGACTGTTGCTCCTTATCTCTCAGACAGAGGCACTCTGACTTCAAAGGAAACAACTGTATCTACATCAGCCAAGCACCAGGTTGATAAAATGTTTCTGGGATGACCACAGAGAGATGTAGGCAGGTCTGAGAGGTGTAGGCAGGTCTAAGAGATGTAGGCAGGTCTAAGAGATGTAGGCAGGTCTGAGAGATGTAGGCAAGTCTGAGAGATGTAGACAGGTCTGAGAGGTGTAGGCAGGTCTAAGATGTAGGCAGGTCTGCGAGATGTAGGCAGGTCTAAGAGATGTAGGCAGGTCTGAGAGATGTAGGCAGGTCTGAGAGATGTAGGCAGGTCTGAGAGATGTAGGCAGGTCTGAGAGATGTAGGCAGGTCTGAGAGGTTTAGGCAGGTCTGAGAGGTGTAGGCAGGTCTGAGAGGTGTAGGCAGGTCTAAGAGATGTAGGCAGGTCTAAGAGATGTAGGCAAGTCTGAGAGATGTAGGCAAGTCTGAGAGATGTAGGCAGGTCTGAGAGATGTAGGCAGGTCTAAGAGATGTAGGCAGGTCTGAGAGATGTAGGCAGGTCTGAGAGATGTAGGCAGGTCTGAGAGATGTAGGCAGTTCTTGACAAGTATGTGCCCTTGTACTGATGCATCATCACTTTTAGTTCAGCACTTTTAAACCCATGTATGGGAACAATCCTCACATATATACATGGAAACACCCCTCAAGTATGTATGGGGACACCCCACACATAAGTATGGGAACATCCCTTTCATATGTATGGAAACATCCCTTAACTCTTTGAGTCCCAGGGGGTTTAGCATCACAGGCCCAATGGGTAGTAAAGAGAGACTAAAATCAACACATCATGCGTTCATTGGGCTTCTAGGTAAGAACCTATGATGCGTTCCCTGGGACTCAAAGAGTTAAGTATGCATAGTAACATTCCTTAGGTATGTATGAGAACATTCCTTATGGGTTTATGGGAACATCCCTCACATAAGTATCGAAACATACCACCCTCACAACATCCATGCTAAAAATATTCTCCTCAAACATCTCTCCATCCTTAGGGATGACCCTACAACCAGCAAGATTTTCTCTGAACTTCCTCTACTGGCCTACAGGCATGACTGTAACCTCAAGGACATTCTAGTTAAAAGTCGGTTACGTCCTGTCTCCGAGCCCCACTTCAGGACAGTCTCCTGCCATAGACCTGCATGCAGGACCCGTCCATATGTGGTTCAGGGTACCAGCCTAAATTTCCTGAATGCCACCTTCCACATACGTGAAGCATTCTATTGCGTGAGCTGTAATGTAATTTACGCTATCAACTGCAAGAGATGCGGCATCAAATACATCAGTGAAACAGGTTTACGATTGGCTGACAGGTTCCGACATCTTTTGGACATGAAGAATGGCACCTTGAAACCAGCACCACTGCATTTCAATTCCCATGAGAAATTCTGGGCGTAATTCTAATGTGGGCGACTGAAGATTATATAAGGTCTTAGAAAGAGCGAGTGGGCAGTCTCGTTTAGGCCAAGAAATTGTATGCATGTAGAGCAGAGAAGCATTTGTATCAAGTATGCGTCTGATGTGTTTGTAAAGTTTTTAACGCCAAACCTGGCCATTAGCAAGAACTGACGGAAGCCTTATGCCAGCACTGATCTTGTGTGTTCGCCCGTCATGGAGAATGGTTGTTATTCTTCACTTTCTAGTGTGTAATGGACTTCTGTGGTTTCGTCTGAAGGTAAAGTTCATCCGTGTAAATTGATCTGAGTAGATATGAGTACCTAGACGTTTATTCCCTCACCATGTTTATGTATGGGAACCTCCCTTACATTTGTATGGGAACACCCCTTACATTTGTATGGGAACACCCCTTACATTTGTATGGGAACACCCCTTACATTTGTATGGGAACCTCCCTTACATTTGTATGGGAACACCCTTACATTTGTATGGGAACATCCCTTACATTTGTATGGGAACACCCCTTACATTTGTAAGATATGAACAGAAACTAGTATCCTATTGTACACCTCTCTTATACATTACAGAACAATTTAACTTAATCTTCCTCACATATCTGGTTATGCTGGTGTAAAGGGTAATGAGCAAGCAGACCAACTGGCAAGCAATGCACCAACCCATATGGGAAGAAGCATGGACAGGGCAGATAACTTCAATGCTATACAGACCAGGCTAGTGGATAATGACGAATCCCTGCACTAGCACACTTGTGTGACATGGGAGTAAATCATCGTCAAGCACGTCTTTGCCGTCTTCGAGGCTGAGATAAAAGACATTATAACCAGCCTCTCATGGGACCAATTAGTAGAAGTACCTTAGTGGCTGCTGCATCAGAGGACTGAGCATGCATGGGAATGTCCAATTTGCAGTGATGCCAATGGTGATAACATAACCGAAGAACAACTGACACATAAAAGGGAAGTAACTTACAAATACTCATTGATGGAACTGGCATGTCCCATTCTCCGTTGGACTTCACATCAAAGTGGGTTTTGTAGTACAGGTCATAGGTGGAGATGTTGGCATGGTGGGGTGGACCCGATCCAGTCAGGCTGCACATTTCAGGATCCCTCGCTGGGTTCACCTGTAGCCACTGCTGGAGAGGAGGAAAACAGTTGTGATGTGTTCTTCTGATGTGATGTAGTCTGATGCGATTATAGGTGCTGTCTGAATTATAGGGTGTACTGTCTGATGTAATGAGGTGTTTTGTCTGATTTGATAGAGGGTATTGTCTGATGTGATGGGGTGTGCTACCTGATGTGATGAGGTGTGCTGTCTGATGTGATGAGGTGTGCTGTCTGATGTGATGAGGTGTGCTGTCTGATGTGATGAGGTGTACTGTCTGATTTGATGAGGTAATCTGGTAATTTTAATTTCAGCTTTATAGCAAACGGGTCACCCCATATTTGCTCATGTGATGAGGTGTGCTGTCTGCTGTGATGAGGTGTACTATCTGATGTGATGAAGTGTGCAGTCTGATGTGATGTCTGATCTGATGAGGTGTGCTGTCTGATGTGATGAGGTGTGCTGTCTGATGTGATGAGGTGTGCTGTCTGATGTGATGAGGTGTACTGTCTGATTTGATGAGGTAATCTGGTAATTTTAATTTCAGCTTTATAGCAAACGGGTCACCCCATATTTGCTCATGTGATGAGGTGTGCTGTCTGCTGTGATGAAGTGTGCTGTCTGCTGTGATGAAGTGCACTATCTGATATGATGGGATGGACTGTCTGATGTGATGAGGTGTACTTCTGGTGACTCACCTTTATGATGTCACTCTGTTCCCCCAGTTGGAGTGGCCTCTTCTGATATGTCCGGTACTGAACCCTGGAAGCTTCATCAGGCAGGTTCATGTAAATGCCCAGTGTAAGGAAGCCAAGAACAAGCACAGCAACCACCCGGTGCCTGAACTTCATGTTCTTCAAAAGCCCCATTCTAGAGCCCTGCAAGGAGGGTCCACCAGGGTCTCAGGAGACAAACTTGACAGGGGCAACATTTCTGCAGAATCTGGGGATGTTAGCAGAAACTTGTAACTAGGCAAAAACTCAGAACTGGATAGCAATATGAGGTGGGGGATGGGGGATGGTGGAGTTGCAAGAACTACAATGTTCCTATGAGAGAGTACAAGGCAAGCTCAGAAAGAGAAGACGGCAAGCTCACAGAGTGTACGACTGGAACATTTACTTTGCAGGCACCAGTGTGGGTTCATGTTTTTATCCATCAGTGTAGATCAGCACTGGGCGCTATCCATGTGGATCCATGTTTTTGTCCATCAGTGTAGATCAGCACTGGGTGCTATCCATGTGGATCTGTGTTTTTATCCATCAGTGTAGATCAGCACTGGGCGCTATCCATGTGGATCTGTGTTTTTATCCATTAGTGTAGATCAGCACTGGGTGCCATCCATGTGGATCTGTGTTTTTATCCATTAGTGTAGATCAGCACTGGGTGCCATCCATGTGGATCTGTGTTTTTATCCATGACTGTGGATCTGCCTGTGAAGCCAGTGGCTGATAACAATCTCAATTAGCTTTACAAATACCATGTTATTTATGTACCAATATTTCCGTAGCTCACATTCTCATCCAACAATGGGATCTCAGTCCTGAGGCAAAGGTGAAGTATAAGGACCCATGACACAGATGGAGCACTGGAGTCCAGGAAACGATGTGGCTTCAGAACCCTTTACCAGTAGCATAGGTTATGTGACATCTTTCAGATGGGTGACTGCGTACGACACAATCTCCTATCGATGACTGACAACCAGTTGTCTTGATTTACCGCAGCTCATTCTGTTTACACTTCCGGTGTAAACAGCCACAATGGCGGTACGCTTTTTCGTCCGTTGAGGCGAATAGCGCAAATTAGCTATTTTCGCTCACGTATAATGTGAAAGTTTCATCGGAATGGGGTCTGAACCGTGCAATGGAGTACATGCACGTGAGTTTAGACTTCCCTCAGGGTGTATTCGACGTCCGATGGCGACTATTTACCAATTCAAAACAACCCGTAGACGGACAAGGAGAGCGCGAACAGGCAAGCATGGTGGCGCCTGCAGGAAGCGACTGAAATGTGAGAGACTCAGTTTAAAGTATGTTCGTGTTCTCTACTGGAACTGCGCTTCGTTCAGTCAACGCCGACCCATTTTTGAGAAGCTCCTCTACAGCAACAACATTGTTGTCCTACAGGAAACACACCTCGGTGACGAGATCGTTAAAATTGCGGGCTTCCAATCCTTCTACAATAGACGGCACCTCGGACAGCTCATTCTTGTTCGTGACCACATACCGGTGTCTGAGGTGGACATGTCTGAGTGGAATAATGACGACTTACAAGTACACGCAGTCAGAGTGATGGGCCCGGCCCAGTTTGTGATTGTCAATGTGTACGCCTGCAATGGAAAGGTGGATACAGCGAAATGGCAGAGTTTGCTCCAGACGGAGGAAAAGAAAGTCATGTACTGCGGAGATTTCAACGCCAGAGGACACCAGTGGGGCAATGTAATCACTAATAAACAGGGAGAAGACCTGGAGGATGCCCTAGTGTCTGCCAATCTAGTATGCTTGAACGACGGAAAGGTTACCCGAATGGCAACACGACAAGGGGATTCTGACAGCGTAATTGACCTGGCCCCAGTGTCTCCCTCCATTGCATCAGGATGCAGGTGGAGCACACTGGGATACCACGACAGTGATCACTTTCCTTGCGTCGTCCTGGTAGAGAAGAGCAACAACAAAGGTCATGTAATCAATGTGCCTGCTTTTATTTATGACCGTACAGGGCAAGATGCCATTAGCAAAATCCGACGACGTAAAACAAGAGTAGATCGCAGACGGCGGGAGAGATGGGCCCAGCCACCATGGTGGAATGAAGTAGTCAACATGGCGTGGCTAGAAAAAAGGAAAGCTGTCAAGGCATGGCAAAAGGCAAGGAAAATTGATCCGTCACTTTCTGAACGCCTGATCAGTTTGAAAGATGAGGTCAACAAGCAGACAGTGGCTTTCAAGTTAATTGTGAAGGAAGCTAAGACAGCGAAATGGAACGAATTCTGCAAGAGCGTTTGCTCCGAGGGATCTCTTGTGACATTCTGGCGCCTTCAACGGAGCATGCACGGCGACGCACGACCTAGGGGTATCCCTGATTTTCAGGGTACAGACCTGATATGGCAGAGAACTGATGCTGATAAAGGAAAAACCCTTCTGGCGCGCTACTTGGAGCAAACTGACCAAAAAGACGAAGCTACAAGAATAGGGGTTAAGATGAAACTGTCGATGCTGTGCGAGAACACTGTGTTAGGCACTGATCTCACAATCACTGCAAATACCTTAAGAACTTGCCTCAAGAAATCGCGCAGCACTGCTCCAGGCCCTGACGGCATCCGATACAACGACATGCTGATGATGTCGAATGCTGATTTGAAAAGCGTGGCAAAGGAATTCAATATCAGCATCCAGAGTGGCCAGATACAAGAGGAATGGCTCCATAGTTATTTGTTCCCACTACCAAAGCCTAATAAAGACCACTCTAAGATCTGCGGCTACAGAATCATCTCGATGCAGAATACTGTTGGCAAACTTTTGGAAAAAATTTTCGCACAAAGATTGACCACCTACTTGGAACTACATGATAAGTTCCCACCAACACTTGGAGGGTACAGGTTAAATAAAGAGACATGGTTCAATGCTGCAGTTTTCGCCCACGATGTGTACGAGGGATTTCAGATTAAAGAAGAGACATGTGCGGCAGTGTTGGACTTAGAAGATGCCTACAATAAAGTACCATACGATTATTTAATGCAATTACTGCTTAAACTAGAAGTTAATCCTATTCTGATCCGCTGGATTGCTGCGGTCCTGTTCCAGAGAAAGATTGTACTTTTTTTTTTTTTTACGTATCCAGAAACCATGAGTTGTAAACCCTTTGGCTCGGTACTATGGATATCGCAACCCTTCGGCCTTGATTCCATTATAGGTAACGTTAATCTGGGAGAAATGTGGCTTTTCTGCCTACCCTCGGGAGTGAACCCGGACCACAATGAGTTCGTCACCCGGCCGCCGCGAAAGTCAGGTTTAACCAACTTCGCTAGAGAGCCGGGCAGAAAGATTGTACTAAGATGTGGTAGCTGGTCCTCCGAACCGCAAACAATATGTCCAGGCTTGCCACAGGGATCACCGCTATCACCAGTCTTATTCAACATTTACACGGTGATGATCACTGAGCAGCAGTTGAATGGAAAGGGAAGGACTTTGTCATTTGCTGATGACATTTTGATTTATCGACGAGGGCGTGATAGACAGGAGATCGCCAGCACTATGCACAAAGAACTCGATCGAATTGCCGCCTGGTGTGATGGTTCCAATGCCTATGTCAATCCTTCGAAGGCATCAGTGTCATGGTTCTCTTTGAACAATCACATTGTCAAGACGGACTTGCCAGAAGTGAAAATGCGTGATAATGCATTGATCAGAACCAACGTTATGACGTTTCTCGGGGTGAGGTTCGATCGCAGCTTGTCATTCAGGGAACACGTTGACCATGTGATAACAAAAGCACGCAAAGGTCTATCTGCAATGAGGATTATGGCTGCTTCCAATATTGAGCAAAGACTACTAATACTTCTATTCTACAGTCTGGTCCTTTCCCCCATTGAATACGCTCTGGCCATCCTCACTGTCAGTGCTACCCAGATTGAACGACTCGAAAAGGTGCAAAATGAAGCCATGCGCATTATTTTGGGATGTACTAGAGACACATCCTGTGGAGCAATGAGGTATCTACTTGACTTTCCAACAATGAACCAAAGGATCAGGATGTGGAGGGCTCGGGCATATCTCAAAATATGCGCTGATAAGAAACACCCCACTGCATCAAGCGCTTTTTAGTGAAAAGGGCGACAGACTGAAGAGGGGGAAATCGTGGCTAGGTCGGGCAGAAGATGTTATTAGGCAAATATGCAGCCTAACCGACATCATACCTGGTGCAGAATGGATACCTGTGCCTCAGGCGTTTATTTGTACACTTTTCCTGTATTGTCACACTCAACAGGCGATGTAGAGAAGAGAATCCTGTTGCTGTTAATGCAGAGGTCAACGCTCTCATCGGTGAAAATTCAGACGAAGCAGATGCAATAATCTATACAGACGGATCCGTTATACGCCAAAGAAGAAGAAGCGCATGGGCATTTACAGCACGCTCAGCGGGCAGAACAGTCAAAGAAGCCAACGGCGCCTTCTCCATGACAACCAGCAGCATGACGATGGAGGTGATGGCAGTGACACAAGCGCTTGCCTGGCTTGAAACACAAAAATACACCCGCGTGTGTATACTCAGTGATTCAATGAGTATGATCCGGAGGGTTCAGGCAGGTTCAGTGCGAAGACAATGGCTTGAAATCATTACAGAAGTCCACTGTTCGTGGAGTCACCTTTATTTTTGTTCCGGGATACGCAGGTGTCAATGGAAATGAAAGAGCTGACAGGTTGGCTGTATCCGCTATCACTACCGACGGTCAGCCTATGGATCATGCTGATATTATCAATGCCCTCAGAGAAATGGGAAGAATAGAGGACTTTGGTGGCAGTGAATCCACATCACTCGCCAGAATGGCAGACTTGGGAATTAAGATCGGCACAGCAAAAAACGAGACGCACACCAGCTACGCCAGAAGACTTGTTAATCAACATAGAACTGGTACTATTAGCCATCGGACGTTGGGGTTCATACTGAGGGGAGGATCTGAGCACCTATGGACATGTCCGGAGTGCAATGAGGATAACCCAACTAACTAACTAACTAACTAACTAACTAACTAACTCATTCTGGTAAACTAATTAACTTGACTCATCTACAGGCCACCGTTCCTTCGATAGCATGGATAACTAAGCGTGTAACCAGGAAACAAACAACACAGTCCGTGTCAGACATGAAAACAAAC